TGCACAGCCCTTATCTTGGAGCAGGTGTCAGTCATGTGCCATTATTGATCTGGTGGTTTGCTGCTCTTGCTTCTCCCTGCTCCATGTGCCAAGTCTGGACACCAGAGATCAAAGTCTGTCCCTGTCCTCTTCCAGAGGGAACCCACAGAGATCGTGCCAAGATGGCAGGGTAGGAAGCTGCCTACTCTGCATCAGGGCAAGAGGCTCACAGTCAAGGGGTGAGGGCTGAGAATTCCTTGGTAGATGTGGCCCACTCCCTGTGGGTGATCTCCCAACCTTATTCCAATGAACACCCAGAGATCATCTCTATGCTTCAGAATCCAAAAAGGGAGATCAAGAAGGTCCTAGAGTTTTTGGGGCGCTCTTTGCCTGAAGAGACCGTGGATCTCATTGTTCACAACACCTCCTTCAAGAAAATGAAGGAGAACCCCATGACTAACTACACCACTCTCCCCTCTGCAGTCATGGACCATGATGTTTCTCCTTTCATGAGGAAAGGTAGGTAGTAGCCTGGATGGACATTTGGAGGATTTGGGGAAGGGAGGTCAGACGCAGCCAATAAAACCTGCAGTCCCATGGGTCCTGTGGCTGTGACTCTTCAGTCTCTCTTCCTCTCTCCCTCTTCAGGTACCACTGGGGACTGGAAAAACACCTTTACTGTAGCTCAGAATGAGCGCTTTGATGCCCACTACGCTAAGATGATGAGAGGCTGCAATCTCAAATTCCGTTGCAATCTGTAAGTGGATATGGCTATACTGGGAATGAGTGTAAGCTGACATAACCCATTATAACCTCAAGAAAGAAATATGATGCATCCATGTTGTATGCCTACAGGAAATCTGAGCTAATAGAATGACTAGGACTGGGGACGTATATGAATGACGAGCGTTTTATCAACATGTGTCAGGAAAGCAATCCATCCGCGCACTGAAAGGAACCCAAACACGCAAGAAAAGAAGACAAAAACTGTATTTTACCTGAAAGAATAAATGCCACTGGGAGCTGACTGGGCCTTCTCCCTCCTGCGGCCATCAATCCCATGTGTCTGATAGAGGGCAAGAGGGTCTGAAGCAGTGAGGCCCAAGAGACATGGTGAGAGGGAAGAGTATTTATTTGATTACAGGAACTCCTTTGTTGCCTTTTCCCATGAGACTCAAGCCTGCCATCCAGCTTCACTTTTTCTTGGGCTCCTTACAAGCCACCACGTACCTCTGGGCCACATTGAGAGGAGGGGAGTAGCCATCTGCATAGGAGGTGTCTTCAAACAGGACTGAGTAGTCATCCTGAGGCTGTAGGGCACACACAGGAAGGGCTGGTCAAGATACTTCTAGGCCAGGGCAGCCTCTCCTTGCCCAGAGCCCCAGCTGCATCTCCCCGCCTCTCCGCCTTCCTCTCTACTCTCTTCCTGGTGTTACCAGGAAGTTCAGGAGATAAAGACTACAAGGCAGCAAGCAGGCATCCTGAAGAAAGATGGGACCAACCCTTAAGGTTCTGGTGTCAAAGGCCTTCCACGGTGGCTCCTTACCCGCTGTGGGGGGGTGTGGATCAGTGCACGGTAGAAGCAGGTGGTCTGGGGATATAGGGCCAGAACCAGCTGCTCCTTCTGAAACAAGGCCTCAGGGTCTGTCTCAGGGTTAGCTTTCCACTGGGGCAGTGGGATAATGCGCCGCCGACTCAGGGTGTGTCTCCTGGGGGAAAATACAGGCCGTGACCAGGGAGGCTTCTCCCAGAAGCCTGGTGATTCTACTGCGCCCCACCTGGACACTCACTCTTTGCCTTCTTCATCAATGTCGTCAACCTCATACCTGTGGGCAAACCAAAGGGAAACAGTGCTGGAACAAAGGACACAGTCTGCATCCAGGAGGAAGCAGCAGAGAGGAGGAAGAGACTCAGAAGCTGGAGGGAGCACCAGCCAGTGCCCCCTGGGCTGCAGAAGCTGGCGTGGTGAGCACGCAGCCGGGCACACACTCACTTGTTGGTAGCGTGGCTGTAACTGACTACTTCAGCCAGGATCCACTGCTCGTCCCCGTCCACAGCCTTCACTCTAGCAGCCACCTTGTCTCCAGGTTTGGCCACATAGTCCCCTGAGGCTGGAATGGCTCCACAGAGGGGTGGGGGCCTGTGAGAGAAAGCCTGTTAGTCTGGCCCCCTGACACCAGCCCTCTCTGGCTAGTTCCTGCCCTCACTTGTCACCAGGCTTCCCGATCCAGAGGGGCAGGGTCATGGCTGACTGCTGCAGCAGTGTCATCAGGACCCCTCTGCGCATGGTCTTCCGTGGGGGCTCCGAGTCATTGTAGAGACCTGCGATCTTGGCCGCTGTGGGAAGCAAGGGAAGCCCTGAGGCCTTGTGAATGGTGCCTGACCCAGTCACACCCCAGCGACTGCTCTGAGCTGGAGCACTTTATACCAGGATCCCCAAACCATCCACGCCCCTTCTTAACAGATATCTAAGGTTGGGAACAGCCAGGCCTAACTCTCAGATGGGTGAGATGTCAGGACAGTGGCTACCATCATGGAGAGGAACTAAAAAGGAGGTTCCTAGGATGCAGGCTATATTCTGTTTCCTCACCAGGGTACTGGATATGTAAACGTGCTGGGTCAATGAAAATTCCTGGAGTGAGATACTTAGGTGATCTCCTTTCTACTAGTGTTTGCAATTTCAGCAAACGCTGCACAAATTACCTAGTGTGAATTCTTGGCCTCATCAGCCATGGCTCATCACACTCTTCAATTGAAAACTGACAAAAATGGTACCATGATCACACTAAGGGGTAAAAGAGTTGCATCTGGGGCAAGACAGAAGCCAAGAAACCAAAGCAATGGCACCCAAGGAGACCTATAAGGCCGGGGACTAAGCCAGTTTCTAATGTGTTCACCAAAGCCTGCCACAGAGGGAGCAGTGGTAGAAAGGAGAGAGATGACCAGCCCCGGCTAAAGTGAGCAAGGGCAGTGTGAGGGGTGGGGCACAATTACCTGGGTCTGGGCAGAGACCTAGGCAAACTCTCTGCCTCTGAGTCTGTCTCAGATAGCTGTCAGGTGACTCTACCAACTTATGTCCCATGCTCTCCACCTGTCAGGGTCATAACTGCTTTCCCCAACCCTCTACCTTGCCTGGTTAAGAAATGCCCTGCATTTTTTCCCACTCACCAATCCGCCTCTCTTCCAACAGAGACTTGATCTCAGCTATCTTATCCAGCGCTTTGCGGAGGATGCTAGGCAGGGAAGGGAGAAAAGGGTGCTGGGTGAGGCACTCAGCATAGGCTTCTTGGCAATTTGGGCACCCCGGACCAAGTCTATGCTGAAAACTCCAGATCCGTTGGGTGTGGTGGCTGACACCTGTAATCTTAGCACATAGGAGGCTGCAACAATCCTGTAGTGAGTTTGATGCTATCTTAGCTACACAATGAGCGCCAGGTCTGCCTGGGCTAGAGTGAGACCTTGCTTCAAACACAAAAGGAGAGGCTCTAGAGACGGCCCAGTGAATTAAGGACCTGTTTTGCAAACTTTGGGTCTGAGTTAGACTCCTAGCACCCATCTGAGAGCCAGACATGGCGCCTGCAATCCCAGTGCTGGGTTACTGTGGAGACAGTAAGATCCCGGGAGCTCACTGGCCAAACAGCCTGGCCAAATTCATCAGTTTCTGATTCAGTGAGGGACCCTGTCTCAAAAATTAAGGGGGGCAATAATAAAGTAAGATGTCCAAAATCAACGAGTAGCCTACACATGCACTTTCACCCACATACATGCCCATTCACATGCGATATATGTACATACTGCATAGCATATACATACCACATGTACACACAAAATACTAATAAAAACAAAGAATAAAATAAACTACAGACCCTAAATAGAAATAGATACTACCCCAGAAATCTGAGTTAACAGGTCTGTATATGTCCCAATCCTATGACAGTGGCCCCACAAGATAATTAACACCTCTTGGCACCAGTGCCAGCTTAATGTCATAGGGCAACATATTACATTCTCTGCACTGATAGTCACATACAAGCAGGGCACATACAATCATTTACACTCAATCACACTTGATTATAGTAATGACTATGCCACTGATTTAGAAATTACTGAGGCTGGAGAGTTGACTTAGTTGTTAAGAGCACTTCTATAGCTCTTCTAGAGATCTGAGTTCAGTTCCCAGCACCCACATGGTGGCTCATGCAGATGTATATGCAGATAAAACACTCATATACATAAAATACAGAAATACAAAAAAAACCACAAACAAACAAGCAAAATTTAGCTGGGTAGTTGTGGTACACGCCTTTAATCCCAGCACTTGGAAAGCAGAAGGAGGTGGATCTCCAGTTCGAGATCAGCCTGGTCTACAGAGTTCCAGAATAGTCAAGGCTACACAGAGAAACTCTGTCTCAAAAAACCAAACCAAAACAAAACAAATAAAAATTTACTAAATTATACTTTTGACAAAATACATGTGACACTGGCAGCGACATCATACGTTTCATGTTCACGGATGTCTTTATTGTGCAAGAAGCCACAGTGAGTGTCAATGCATCTAACTTTGTGACAATGCTGTGATACTCACAGTGGGATTCACCAATGACAGGGCTCAGAAAGTTAACTAACCAATGATTGTCAATTTTTTTCAGTGCTAAGGATGGAACCCAGGGCCACGCGAAAGCTAAGCAACTGCTCTACCACTGACTGACATCCTCGACTCTGTTTTTCAACTAAAAGCATAAGGAGCAATGTAGCAGAAAGTGTCAGGACAACCTCTTGAGAAAGCAGGGCTCTGAGAGGTTACTGATACGGCCTTGTCCAACTCTGTAGAAACCCCACCAAAGTTCTGACCCAGTCCTGAGGTGACAGGAATGGAAGTTCAGATTTGAGCATGCCACGTCCCTTATAGACTCATGTGTTTGAGCAGGTGGTCCTTAGTTGGCGTAGCTTTTTGTAGAGTTGTGGATCCTTTAGGAGGTGGGGCCTTGCTAAGGGAAGTGGCTGGTGAAGGGCAGACCTTCTGTCTCTGGCCTGAGCCCTCTGCTTTCTCAGTACAATGCAGTGTAACCAGCAGCCTCATGCTCCTGCTGCCATCCTTTCCTTCCATGACAGACAACCCTCTCAAAGCAGGAAGCTAAAGTAAACCATTCTGTCCTTAAGTCTTTCTTCTGGGAGTTTTATTACAGTAGGGTAAATAACTGTGAAGCTCCAGGGCTGTTCCAGGTAGCAGAAGGAGAAGCAGAACCTAGAGACACCAGGCACGCTCAGAAGAGCCCCAGGTTATAGGAACTTGCTCCTGTAAGACTCAAGCCATTCCCACTCCTGTGTAATCCTGTAGCCTGAACCTCCAGAAGTCAATTTACAGATGGTTCGAGCTGGCAAGCAGGCCAGCACTGGATATCACTATACAGGTTCTCCAAGTCTCCCAGAGAAGGCTTCACCCTTAATCAGCAGAAACAACTCCACTGGGGGTCATTCTATCCTGTTTCCATAGCAAA